TGCAGGCAGAGCTGGTCCCCGCAGGGGTGCCAGGGAGAGGCCACTGCCTCACACCATGGCCCTACATCGCCCAGCACGTGGCCGGGCTCAACACGTGCCTGGCAAGAGGGAGCCCCAGAGGGGCTGTGTCTCACCTGTCACCGAGGAGATCGGGATGGGCCGCAAGGATGTCTGCGACTTTGGGGTCACAGTCCAAACTCTCCCGGCACATTCGGTACAGCTCTCCCTGGAAGACCCAGACAGACCTTAGCCCTGGCTCCGCCTGCCCTGCCCAATCCCTGCCCCACTGCTGCCCCTCGGCTGCCTGCTGCCCCCGCCACAGTCCCTGCCAGAGCACAAGTACCAGCAGCTGCCCAAGCTGACTGTAAAGAGGGACCGCAACCAGGGCTGTGGCCTCCAGCGCATCCTGGCCAGGGGAAGGTATGAAGGTACGTGCTTCAGCCGTCCAAGGGCGCTGGCCTCTGTGCCAAGCGATGCACCGTGCACCACCTTCTGCTGGCCTCTGAGGCTCGTTTTCACAGCACAGCAATGCTTCAAAATGAGAAATTGCCATTCCAGTCAGGCATCCTGGAGCAGCCGCTGCTGAGGAAACCCTGCTCAGCCCCAGCAGAGAGCATGCTCAGAGCACACAGAGCTGCAGTGAAACCAATACTGAACTCAAGTCTCCACAGAGCATGTGCAAACTGGGACATCTCAAAATTTCCAGTCTTGCTCAGATTTGAGTTTGGTGCTGCCCACAGGATCAGCAAAAAAGAACATCCCGATAAAACCATTGCTTCTCAAAGTCAAGGTGGCCCCAACCACTGAGCGACAAGGGCAGGACAGCCGCACGTCTGAGCACCATTCCCAGAACAGGCTGAAGTGCTTAGCTGGATTTTTCTCTCAAAGTTTCACTGGACACAGACGTTCAGCTTGTTAAAGTTTAGCTTGATCAGATGAAATCTGACAACAGGCAACTGAAAACAAGCTCTTGCAATGGGAATTGCTGGCAGCTGCAGTCTGATATTATAATCTGCTCTTATGTGCTTGCAACTTCTCTGCTGTTATTTACAGGCGCTGCAGCTGTGCGTTGCCGGGCACTGTATTTAGCAGGGATGTGCAGTTGTGTCCATGATGGCTGGATTTGCAGCATTAGCATTTCCTTTAGCTAGGAGAGGCAGCAGGGTGAGGGAGCGGGGTGTTCACTGCATACTGTGCGGTACATGGGGAACCCAGGGCTCTGCTGGATTTGGCAGCAGTTTAACTTGTGTGTCCACCCACCTCCAAATTCTCCCTTTCCCTCCCCATCCCATCGAGCTGCTGAGATGCCAAACGGGGGGCGGGGGGGGAGGCTGGCAGCAAGCAGGTCACGGCTGACAGAGGCCATTGTCTCTCCAGCAAGAAATCATCCTGTAAACTGGATGACTGTTTGGAGAAGGGACTGATTTGGAGATTAACCTGGACAGGCTCAGGCAGTGCCCAGAGCTGCAGACCGATGAAGGCTACAGGAGGTCACCATCCAGACTTGTCCTGTTCTGGATCTTTCCTGGCATCTGCTCGCAGCCACTACTGGAGATCAGCGCTGGGGGTGCTCTGGAGATCACCCTCGCAACCTGGTGACCCCAAGTCTGTGCCCGTTTATCTGTGGCTGTGCCTGCTGCTCACTTCTGAGCCCGGTCTCCCTCTCCTGCTGCTGGCTGCCAGCAGCGGCTCTGCCCGGGCGCTGGGTGCAGGGAGGCAGGTGGTGGTGCCTGCTGAAGCTGCTGGCCACAACACCCACGGTCCAGCCCAGGGGCCTGACACGCTGCTGGACACAGCCCCAGGTGACCTGCCCCAGGCTGACCTGCTCTGAGCAGGGGCTGGACCCCACAGGTCCCTTCCCATCTGCATCACCCTGCACTGCAACCTCAGCCTTGGGGTCAGCAGCAGACGAGCACGTATCTTGTTAGCGCACGTGCAGCACAGGGCACGCAAAGGTGAGCTCTGGCCTGAGTGGTGCGGGCCACCCCTTTGGGCCATGGCTCTCACCTTGTCCAGGGGCAGCAGTGGGCGCAGGAGGGACAGCGAAGAGCGGAGGTGGGTGGTAGAAGAGGTCACAGCTGTTCCCCACGGGCAGCAGTGCCTGGAAGAGATACTCTGTCAAGGAGCAGATTGTCCTGGCTCCAAACCTTGTCCTGGAGGCAGCAGGAGCAGGGTCCCTCTGAGGCACCCTAAAACCCAGGAGCTGCAGCCAAGGTGCAGAGGCCCAGGGCAGCTCTGCCTTCCCAAGCTTGCAGCAACCCAACGGAAGGGCCAGGAGCAGCAGCTGGGACTCTGGCTTCCCTACAGTTCCTTCAGCCTCCACAGATATTGGCATGCTCTCACCTGCAGTTCTCCAAAGAGGCCCCCACGACGTGTCCAGGGTTCAGCGTCCCCCCCCAGCAGGATCGGGGCAGTGATGCTCTGGCACCCTGGAGGCAGCAGGAGACAAGCACATGCAAGATGAACAAAAACCTGCTGGGCCAGGGGGAGATCAGTCTCCACCACACAGCAACATCACGATCACACTGGTCACAGCTCCAAGGATCTGCCCCCACAGCTGCGCAGCCCAGGGCAGGACCTTGCCTGGGCTCAGGCAGCCAGCCCCATGCATTGGGGTAGCAGCACAGCCTCTGCAACAGGGCTTGAGGTGGGGGAATGGGGAAAGGTGTAATCGTGCCTCCAGGAAAAGTGTAAGGTAAAGACACAGCTCCTGGCTACAGTTGGGAAGCTGCAGCCTGGCACAGAGAGCAGCATGCTGCTTTCTGCCTGGCCAGCCAGCTGTGCAGTGCCTGTGGGAATTTGCCCTGCGTGCTGCTGCTTCCCTGTGGAAGTCGTTCAAGGCACACGGCACCACCTCACCCTGGACTTGGAGACCCTCTCAGGTTGTCATCCGGTAAGAGTTCCTGGTTTGTAGGAGATCACAAGTCCCACAGAGCGACCAGGGAACCCTAAATCAGTGGAATGGGGGCTCCCAAAGTGATGCACAGGCATTCAAAATACAGCCTCACCTCTATCACCCGGGGCATTACTGCTCCCAATGGCTCATGGATCCCTTTTACCAGAAAGGCTAACAGGTCTTTGGATTAAAGGGGCTGAGGAACCATGCCCTAGAAATAGGCATTCCTTCTAGACTGTGAGAGATGGTGAAGAGACGCTCCGATGACGGCCCTGTCCCCAGCAGCAGTGCCCCGTCCTGCCTCGGTGTGTCTGGGCATGCAGGGGTGCCAGGCTTCCCACGGCCATGCCCGCTCCACTTGGCAGGCAGGGCATGGGAAAGGGCAGCCCGATGGCGAGTGCTGGCTGGGCGCCGGCGGGGGGTGGGGACCCAGGGGAGGGCAGCAGCCAGTGCCCCACCGCCCAGGTGGGTGAGCCACGGCAGCATAGGTACTTACAGCCAAAGCAGCTTCCCCAGGTGACCTTGGGGTCAGGGTCGCAGAGGAGATGGCCATCTGCAAGGGAGGCGAGGTGGTGAGCGTGGGGGACACGTCAGCGGTGGGGAAGGTGTCAAGGGGAGGCATACTCCCAGGACAGGAGGGCAGCAGCCAGTGCCCCACCGCCCAGGTGGGTGAGCCACGGCAGCATAGGTACTTACAGCCAAAGCAGCTTCCCCAGGTGACCTTGGGGTCAGGGTCGCAGAGGAGATGGCCATCTGCAAGGGAGGCGAGGTGGTGAGCGTGGGGGACACGTCAGCGGTGGGGAAGGTGTCAAGGGGAGGCATACTCCCAGGACAAACCCTGGCACCCCCAGCCGGACGCAGGGACCCCAGACCTCTGGGAGGGGGTCCCAGACACCTTCACCTTTTTAGGGGCAGAAGCAGTGGATCACCACAGAACAAGCTTCAGATGCCCTGGGTGTGCCGCAGTGCCTGGGGGCCCCTGTACTTCCACATGGCTGGATTTGGCCAGGGGGTGAATATGTGCTACGGGGCCACAGGGGCTGGCTCGCGGCATCAGCCACATACCCAGCCAGAGGATGAAGGCACTGGTGGCCAGCAGCATGTTGCGGATGTCCCAGAGGTAGGGGTGGAGATCATAGAGCAGTGCCCGTCCAGCGCTGCTGACGAAACGGCTGTGCAGACGGCATATCTGAGCGCAGAGGAGCTGGAAGGACTGGGCTCGGCCACGCCACTGCGTGCCCTGTGGACAGACCAGGCGTCAGCGCAACCATGACGGGCACCATCCCGCAGCAGCCCCTGGACCAGCCTTACCCCGCTGGTGTCGGCTGCGCCACACTGAGGCTGTTTGCCCGGAGCCACCGAAAGTGCTCCAGGAGATGCTGCGCCTGTGGCCCATGATGGTAGGGCAGGTAGAAGAGCTCCACCAGCATCCGCACCTCCCCCAGAGTCAGTGGTGCTGTGGGGTTGGACCTGGCCTCCTTGAGGGTCACCAGTGCCGTAGGGACAGACCCAGCCTCCTCTGGGGTCAGCAGTGTCATGGGGCTGGACCTGGCCTCTTCTGGGGTCATCGGTGCTGTGGGGCTGGACCTGGCTTCCTTTGGGGTCACTGGTGCTGGGGGGCTGGTCCTGGCCTCCTTGGGAGTCAGTGGTACCAGGGGGCCAGACCCAGCCTCCTCCAGGGTCAGCAGGGCCATGGGGCTGGACCCGGCCTCCTCTGAGGTCAGTGGTGCTGTGGGGCCAGGGCTAACACCAGCCCCATCAGTGAGTGGTGCTGGGGGGCCAGGGCTGGTGCAAGCCTCAGGCGCTGGGGGTGTCTGGGGCACATCAGCCCTGCTGGCCTTGGGCTGGGTACTGCTGGGGGGCTGGGGAGGGCTGCCATCCCCTGTCCTGGCATCACTGGTGGGTAGGGGAAGGTTCTGGCTGGTGTCGGCCCCATTGCTGCAGCACATTGCGGGGCCTGAGCTGTGGAGGGTCTCGGTAGCCACCGGGGTTCCTGCGGACTGGGCACTCCCAGCTGTGCTGGGCAGAGCAGAAGAGGGCTCACAGCTCTCTCTGTTCCCCACGGTGAGCTGGTCCCCGTCCCCTGTGGGGCTTTGCTGACTGCCGGCAGAGATCCTGCTCCCACTGTCCTCCTCAGGCTCTGAGGTCACCTTCCTCCGTCCCTCCCCTGGTGCCACGCCATAGGGCTCAGGGCCATGCTGGTCCGCCCCACTGGGAAGAGGGTTGTGGGGCTGGGGGTCAGGCATGACCTCCTGTCCTCCCGCTGTGCCAGGCTGCAGCCTCGTTCCTCCCTTGAGGCTGATGCTGGGGTGTCCCGAGGTCCTTCCTCCTGGCAGAAAGGAGCAAGGGGACAGCCCCTCTGGCATCCGCATAGAAACTGCTGCCCATGGGGCAGGACGGCCCTGGGGGAGGCCATGCCGGGAAGCTCCACCTCTGAGCTGGCAGAGACCGAGGAGCTGCCAGGACCATGGGCTTTGCATTGTTCTGTGTTCAGGAGTTCAGGCCTCCGTGGCTGGTGAGGCCACAGGTTTTACGGAGGCAAACAGTGTGAAACACCAAATTTGCACCTGGCTGAACCCCCTCTTCCAGAGCCATATCGTGGCCCAGGCTCCCATGCTGTCAGCCAAGGAGATGCCCTCTGGGACGTGGCCAGGGCAGGAGCATCCACGGGACAGCATGGGGCAGTGGACACCCACACCTGCCCACCACGACACACACAGACCCCGCTGCAGCACCAGCCAGAGTACCCCATCCAAACGGGCAGGGCATCGGGCTCCCTCACCCCACCAAGCTCCCAGCAGAGCCGGTCCAGCGCTCCGGGGTGGGTGAGGGATGCTGCACGGTGCAAGTTCCATCACCTACCTGGCTCCAAGGCCTGCTGGTTTATCTCGGCCACCCAGTCAAGCAGCGCAAGCTCCAAGGCCTCCTGGGGGTTGTAGCTCCCCTCCTGTGGGCCCTGGCTGTCCCCCAGAGCTGCTGTGGTCTCCATCCCTGAGGAACTGGAGCTCATCAGCCTGGGCAGTCCCACTCTTTGCTTTATGGAGCTATCCCATGCCACACCAAGGGCAGGCAGCGCCCCTCCCCTCCGGCCCCAAGGAGATGCCCCCAGGATGGATCCCATGCCCCGGGATGTCGGGTGGTGCCCGGCCAGGTGAGACACCTCACCCAGGCCGCCGTGCAGGAAAGCCTGCAGGGCCATGGCAAAGACGGGCAGTGACGGCCAGGGCCCTGCCCTGGGTGCACAAGCTCCCTGTCAGCACTGGGCCCCATGTACAGAGCTGCCTGGGGTGTGGGGGCCAGGTACCTGCGTGATCAGGGTGGGCACAGCTCCTCAGCTCACTCTGAAACCAGCTGCTCAGTGTGTGTATGGGGATGAAGTTGGCCTGGAGCTCGCAGTTGGGGTTGAGGAGCAGTCCACGGAGCCTGGGCATGAGGCCGTGGGCACGTCCCGTGTAGGGGCCCAGGAAGACACGTCTGCAGTCATAATCGTTGGCGTACAGGTTGTCCCAGATGACAGGTCGGCGCTGCAGGACACCCTCCACCTCCTCCAGCATTGTGGCCGAGAGCTCCTGTGACACCACCTTTGGGCCTGGAGCATCACGGCACGGACATGCGTGGAGCAGCAGGCAGCGCAGTTCACCATGCACTCACAACAGGGGCATGCATATGTCTGGGCACTGTGCATGGAGATGAGGGCCAAGTCACCCCACCCCACCCTCCCTAGCCAGAAGGAGAGCAGACCCACAGCCCACCCCACTGCCTGCCTGGCCAGGGCTGCACACCCCCACAGAGCCAGGCCAGGCGCTCACCTGTCCAGATGACACCGATCCCTGGGAGCAGCTCCTGGCCGAGGGTCAGCAAGTAGCAGGACTGGCTGGGGCTGGGAGGGGCCCGAGAACTGACGCACCCTCGGGAG